TATATAAAAATATGTGCGTATTCGAATAAAGCGTCGTGTCAAAATTTCAAGGCAATCGGCAAAGAACTTTCAGAGAATACAGCGTGTGTTGCTCTTACGTCCAACAGATGGGGCTGTAAAAAAAATAGTTTTTTCCTGTCACAGATGAGGCATGTATATAGTAGGTATATAAAAACACGCGCCTATTCAAATGCAACGTTGTGTCAAAATCTCAAAGCAATCGGTAAATAGGCTTCGAAGATTTCCCTCACATGAAAAACACATATTTAAAAAAAAATGTTTTTTTTTTCCCATCACAGACATGACATCTATATAGTATATATATATAAACCCGCTCGGATGTGAATGAAACGTTGTGTGAAAATTTCAAAGCATTCGGTAAAGAACTTTCGGAGATTAGCGATTTTGAACAAACGAAAATTTGCATTTATATATATATATATATATATATATATATATATATATATATATATATATATATATATATATATATATATATATAAAGAGAGAGAGAGAGAGAGAGAGAGAGAGAGAGAGTGACAGATACTGTAGTGACAGGTGCTGGTGCTGGTGGTGACAGGTGCTGGTAGTGACAGGTGCTGGTAGTGACAGGTGCTGGTAGTGACAGGTGCTGGTAGTGACAGGTGCTGGTAGTGACAGGTGCTGGTAGTGACAGGTGCTGGTAGTGACAGGTGCTGGTAGTGACAGGTGCTGGTAGTGACAGGTGCTGGTAGTGACAGGTGCTGGTAGTGACAGGTGCTGGTGGTGACAGGTGCTGGTAGTGACAGGTGCTGGTGGTGACAGGTGCTGGTAGTGACAGGTGCTGGTAGTGACAGGTGCTGGTAGTGACAGGTGCTGGTAGTGACAGGTGCTGGTAGTGACAGATACTGTAGTGACAGGTGCTGGTAGTGACAGGTGCTGGTAGTGACAGGTGCTGGTAGTGACAGGTGCTGGTAGTGACAGGTGCTGGTGGTGACAGGTGCTGGTAGTGACAGGTGCTGGTGGTGACAGGTGCTGGTAGTGACAGGTGCTGGTAGTGACAGGTGCTGGTAGTGACAGGTGCTGGTGGTGACAGGTGCTGGTAGTGACAGGTGCTGGTAGTGACAGGTGCTGGTAGTGACAGGTGCTGGTAGTGACAGGTGCTGGTAGTGACAGCGGCTGGCAGTGCTCGTCTAAGTCAGTTACCGCGCCATAAACACCATTATAGCTTGTGTTGCACACGTTGCAACACTCACTTTTGTACAAAGAGCAGCGGTGTATTAAGTTACCTTTGATGTCCGGGTTGTCTCTTTTTGCTGTGATGCACTACGACATTCATGTTTAAATTCTTCAGTATGTAAACAGGAGTCACAACACCTGCACCTATACGCGGCCCTGGAGACCTCAGTGGTCAAGTCCTCTGGATTAGCATCAGTCAGTTCAGTGGGACGAGTGGTTGGGCTTCAGTTGGACGAGTGGTTGGGCTTCAGTTGAACGAGTGGTTGGGCTTCAGTTGGACGAGTGGTTGGGCTTCAGTTGGACGAGTGGTTGGGCTTAACTGGGACGAGTGGTTGGGCTTCAGTTGGACGAGTGGTTGGGCTTAAGTGGGACGAGTGGTTGGGCTTCAGTTGGACGAGTGGTTGGGCTTCAGTTGGACGAGTGGTTGGGCATCAGTTGGACGAGTGGTTGGGCTTCAGTGGGACGAGTGGTTGGGCTTCAGTGAGACGAGTGGTTGGGCTTCAGTGGGACGAGTGGTTGGGCTTCAGTGGGACGAGTGGTTGGGCTTTAGTGGGACGAGTGGTTGGGCTTCAGTGAGACGAGTGGTTGGGCTTCAGTGGGACGAGTGGTTGGGCTTCAGTTGGACGAGTGGTTGGGCTTCAGTTGGACGAGTGGTTGGGCTTCAGTGGGACGAGTGGTTGGGCTTTAGTGGGACGAGTGGTTGGGCTTCAGTGGGACGAGTGGTTGGGCTTCAGTGAGACGAGTGGTTGGGCTTTAGTGGGACGAGTGGTTGGGCTTCAGTGGGACGAGTGGTTGGGCTTCAGTTGGACGAGTGGTTGGGCTTTAGTGGGACGAGTGGTTGGGCTTCAGTGGGACGAGTGGTTGGGCTTCAGTGGGACGAGTGGTTGGGCTTCAGTTAGACGAGTGGTTGGGCTTCAGTTGGACGAGTGGTTGGGCTTCAGTTGGACGAGTGGTTGGGCTTCAGTGGGACGAGTGGTTGGGCTTCAGTTGGACGAGTGGTTGGGCTTCAGTTGGACGAGTGGTTGGGCTTCAGTTGGACGAGTGGTTGGGCTTCAGTGGGACGAGTGGTTAGGCTTCAGTTGGACGAGTGGTTGGGCTTCAGTTGAACGAGTGGTTGGGCTTCAGTTGGACGAGTGGTTGGGCTTCAGTTGGACGAGTGGTTGGGCTTCAGTGGGACGAGTGGTTAGGCTTCAGTTGGACGAGTGGTTGGGCTTCAGTGGGACGAGTGGTTGGGCTTTAGTGGGACGAGTGGTTGGGCTTCAGTGGGACGAGTGGTTGGGCTTCAGTGAGACGAGTGGTTGGGCTTCAGTGGGACGAGTGGTTGGGCTTCAGTGGGACGAGTAGTTGGGCGAGTGGTTGGGCTTCAGTGAGACGAGTGGTTGGGCTTCAGTGAGACGAGTGGTTGGGCTTCAGTGGGACGAGTAGTTGGGCTTCAGTGGACGAGTGGTGGAGCTTCGTAACTATCCCTAAATCGCCGAAAGCGGTTTCATGTGAGTCAGGGAGGATTAATCATGTTTCTTTACAGTGAGGCGAACTCCCATTAAGGGCAGTTTTATGCGCATCTCCTGATTTGCTGTGAGATTTTTGTTGCTGAAGCTCTTAGTGGAGATTACCTTGGGCCTTGATAAATTATATTATTAAATTTTCCATAATTGTTATTCCTGAGAGAGAGAGAGAGAGAGAGAGAGAGAGAGAGAGAGAGAGAGAGAGAGAGAGAGAGAGAGAGAGAGAGAGAGAGAATATGACATCCAAGAGACAGAAGACATCATCAGTCTCCCTAAAATGACACACATGTATATCTCAATGAATGTCAGTGGCAGCTGCCTGGCATGGGCCTCCACACCAACAACAGTTCTCTCTATCCATATTGTCTCGTGAATCCCCTGCATAACAGTGGAACTGCCTCTTCCCCTCACCGTCTATGTCATCACACTGGAAGTCCGCCTCAATGACAGTCAAGATGAGTCGTTTGACCTGCCACACGCTTCACTACCCTGTACCACCCAGTGCCTGGCACGGCTCGGCGGGAAGCAGAGTGCCTCTGCAAACCAGAAGTTAGTCTCCTCTACCAAGCAGTTTAACGCCTCTAACTAGCAGTTATACAGCCTCTACCCCAGCTGTTGTGTAGCCGCAAACAAGCAGTTAATGCCAGTCGCTTGTTACCGCTCACGTTGACACAGTCTGTTCTGGGAGGGCTTGGCTTGGGTCTAAAAATAACCACTCGACATGGTCCTGTATTTTCTCATAGACCATGTAGCTCTTGCTCTATTATAAAACCCTTAAATGTCTCCATTACATATATGCTATATTCCATTTTTGGTGCCCCATTGCTTATGGAACTCTGCAGAAACCCGTAATTATTGCCTTGGACGATGCTGTATACAATTTCATGGGTTCAAAATTGGTTATGAGGTATAACTAAACTATGCCAAAGACCAGTGGCGACAATTTATAACAAACAAGTAAATAACAATTTAACTTTCAAGCCCTTGTCCCACAAAGCTTTCTGTAATATTTAATTTGAAATTCTGCTGCGAAATTATCCTCGTGCTGTTATGTTCAATATTAATTTCGTAGTTATTAAATTGCTCAGATGTTTGGCCCATAAACACGTGCTTAAAAATCTTGTGTGTCGTTAATTAAAAATTATGCCACCAGAGCGCAAGGAATGTCCTTTTTACTCTAAACTGGGGTCAACAGATGGCAGCAGGAGTAACAGTAAACTGGGGTCAACAGATGGCAGCAGGAGTAACAGTAAACTGGGGTCAACAGATGGCAGCAGGAGTAACAGTTGTCGGAAAATCCGACACTATTTAATATCATACAGATAATAGCTGTATTGTATAAACAAGTTACCCATAGAAAACGTAACTTGTAGTGGAATTACCGTCTAAAGAAAACGGGATATCATCACCACATACCATTATAAATTGACCAGCTATTCTGCTGGGAATTATTCTTAAATACATTAGTCTTTGGACTTTACCATCATAAAAACATCTTATATAAATTAACTTAATTATCAATATTAAAGTAGAGTAAATGTGACCCTTCTATCACGTTCTGAAATCTGGACAATGTAAGCCAGGCGTCAGAGTGGAGGAAGGAGGGCAGCCATTGTTGTTTATATTGAGACCAGAGGCTCACACGGGAGCAAATTCGGCTCCTGTTAAATTTACTTGGACGTAGTGTTATGGAAACCAAAGGTGTACCATTGTCAACACGCTGTCTACAAATTCAAGTTAAGTGTCTATCCGAAACCCGTTTATCATTCATTTATGGCCATTAATGTCAGGATATAGGGTGGTCCGGTTAGATCACGTGGAAGCCTCAAACTAAAGGTAATTAAGCCAGGTCTTTATTGTTCCATGTACTGTATAGTGGTTTCTCTGATATAGCTTGTCATATATAGGATTCTGGCTTTACAGCTAGCGTACTTTTGACAGGTCAAGACGAGGAGGAAGATTTTGTGCACCAGTTACTGGGTGATGAAGCTACCTCAAAGAGGATAATTTGGTGTCTACACCCTAGTTATACCTGGTGGACTAACCTGCTGTACTATAAGATAAGGAACCTTTTCAATGTATGTAGTCTTTTCCTGTAGTTTGATTGGCTGCATATATTAATTTAATAAACCCCCCTAATGTGTAGAGGATCGATTTGTGAGATTATGAGATTATTGCAGAAATACAGTCCACTTATCATTATACAAATTGCTATCGAAGTATATAAATTAACGTAAATATAAATTCATATAAATTAAATAAATATAAATCTCACAGGTCGGTTCCCACAACAGTAAACTGGGGTCAACAGATGGCAGCAGGAGTAACAGTAAACTGGGGTCAACAGATGGCAGCAGGAGTAACAATAAACTGGGGTCAACAGATGGCAGCAGGAGTAACAATAAACTGGGGTCAACAGATGGCAGCAGGAGTAACAATAAACTGGGGTCAACAGATGGCAGCAGGAGTAACAATAAACTGGGGTCAACAGATGGCAGCAGGAGTAACAATAAACTGGGGTCAACAGATGGCAGCAGGAGTAACAATAAACTGGGGTCAACAGATGGCAGCAGGAGTAACAATAAACTGGGGTCAACAGATGGCAGCAGGAGTAACAATAAACTGGGGTCAACAGATGGCTGGAAATGACAGTGTCTCCAATATATTGATAGCAATGTTCCAACAGTGGAGCCTGCCATGGTGGCTGGTGTGGGACACCGGTAGGCAGCCTCGGGGCTCTTAGGGGCTTCAGTTGTATCACCGGTTGCATTGTTTTTGTTTCGTGTTGTGGTCTAGGGCGCTAGCTTGGGAGCACCCAGTAAGTGGGTCCAAATCCTCCTCAGGCTCCTACTGATTTTTTTCTATACATGTGTATATATATAATATATATATGTATATATATATATATATATATATATATATATATATATATATATATATATATATATATATATATATATATGCAAACAAGCCTGAATGGTCCCCAGGACTATATGCAACTGAAAACTCACACCCCAGAAGTGACTCGAACCCATACTGCCAGAAGCAACGCAACTGGTATGTACAGGATGCCTTAATCTGATTGACCATCACGACCGGACAATAAGGAGGTGATAGCCGAAGCTATTTGAACCCCCCCCCCCCGCCGGCATCCGGATGGTAATCTTAGGCATATTAATCTTATTAAAGGTTAACAATGAGTATTATTAACCCAACTTTAATAATGAGTATTATTTACAGACTTTTGGAATGGCAATGGGGAATCCTTTATCGCCATTGCTTTCAAACTTGTACATGGAATTCTTCGAAAAGAAATTTGTTTCAAAAATAGCTCCTGGAATCATTCCATGGTTTAGATATGTCGAAGATATTTTGTGTATATGGCCTTCAGATGTAAACACAGACGAATTTGTAGCCAAATTTAATGACCAAGTCACCTCTATAAAATTTACTATGGAGACTGAAATTGATAAATGTTTGCCATTCCTAGATGTACTTATTCATAGGGAAGATTCTTCACTAAAGTTTAGTGTCTACAGAAAACCTACGAATAATTTATCTTATGTTCATTATTTTTCAGGGCATAGATACAATGTGAAAAAGTCAAATTTTTCTTCAATGTATCTAAGAGCTCTTCGAGTCGTGTGTCCAGAATTCTTAGACGAAGAGTTTAAGAATATTGATTCGATTGGTCTCAAGTTTTGTTACCCACTGAGTTTTTTGGAAGTTTGCCGAGGCAAAGCACGTCGTACATGTTATAATAATATATGCAGTGAAAGAATTCGCCCAAAGAATGTGTTATGTTTACCATATTTCTCTGGGTTTGAGAATATTGTCAAGGCCTTGAAACTTTTTAATATACATGTATTGTTTAGCTACGAAAATACTGTTGGTAAGCTATTAGTTAGGAACAGCCCTCGTAGTGATAATTGTGTCATTTATAAAATACCTTGTAAAGACTGTAATAAGTTCTATGTTGGGCAAACATCTAAAGATTTGAAATGTAGAATTTCGCAACATAAATACTTTGCAAGACATGGCCAATTGTCTAATGCTTTGTTTGTTCATCTGTCAGAAGATGCTCACCAAATTGACTGGGAGATGACTTCTTCAATAACCAATTGTAAATCACTTATAACAGAAACATAATTGAATCTGCTTTGATACAGATTACAAAAGAAAGTAATTTGAACATTAGCATTGGTTTATAACTTAGATCCATTTTTAATAGATCAATTAAAGGGCGATTTAAGTAGGATCATTGGAACACATTTGTCTCACTAATTCATTGTAAATATTTACTAATTACTATTTATTATATATATATATATATATATATATATATATATATATATATATATATATATATATATATATATATATATATATATATATATATATATAAACCCATCACTAACAAACACACACACTTTATACATATTCAACCCAAGTAAATGTATGGTAATGAAACTAGGGAGTGGAAACAGGAGGCCAGACACGGGATACCGAATAGGAAACGAAGTCCATCATGAAACGGACAGAGAGAAAGATCTGGGAGTTGATATTACGCCAAACCTGTCTCCTGAAGTCCACATCAGAAGAATAACATCGGGGGCGTATGCGAGGCTGGCTAACATCAGAATAGCCTTCAGAAACCTGTGTAAGGAATCTTTCAGAACCTTGTATACCACATATGTAAGACCAATCCTGGAGTATGCGCCCCCAGCATGGAGCCCGTACGTTGTCAAGCACAACACGAAGCTGGAAAAAGTTCAGAGGTATGCCACTAGGCTAGTCCCAGAACTAAGAGGCATGAGTTACGAGGAAAAACTGAGGGAACTGCACCTCACGTCGCTGGAAGACAGAAGAACTCGGGGAGACATGATCACCACATACAGGATTCTCAGGGGAATTGACAGGGTAGACAAGGATGGATTATTTAACATGGGTGGTACACGCACAAAGGGACACATGTGGAAGCTGAGTATCCAAATGGGCCACAGAGACGTTAGAAAGAACTTTGTCAGTGTCAGAGTAGTTAGTAAATGGAATACATTAGGCAGTGATGTGGTGGAGGCTGACTCCATACAGTTTCAAATGTAAATATGATAGAGCCCAGTAGGCTCAGGAATCTGTACATCAGTTGACGGCTGAGAGGCGGGACCAAAGAGCCAAAGGTCAACCCCCGCAAGCACAACTATGTGAGTATTGGAAATACACCATTAACACACACACACCCATCTTTAAAATATTTTCAGTCATGATATATCTTTAAAAAATCATTAGATAACAACATAGATAAAAAAAAATTCTACAAGTGTGAGAGAAGAATAATGTGGGAAGCTGGTAACTTTAGTGAGGTGAGGAGGTAAACTTAATAAAGCTGGGTTTACTAATTACTAACCTGGCGATAATGTCTTACAAGTTTATAAGATTATATATAGTTTAACGAGTTTGATCCCCTCCAACTTCCTGACCCTTTCTCTCTGTTCTTTTTTTTTTTTTAACTAGGACTAGGGTTCATTAGGGCTGTCGAGTGATGTACCTAGTGAAACTGCAAGCATGAGCTGTTATCCTACCTTAGCTCATCTGAAGCTTGCTCCAAGCGACTCATTTATTTCATGAGCCTATAATATGCATTATTGGGAATAAACTTGTTCGTTATGTAACAGTCATATAAGGATCAGTCTGAGTCTGTAGCCAACTGTGTGCCAGAGCCTTCATGTGATCGCTTGACCTGATCTTTCGTGTATCAACCTGTTGAGCGAACAAGTTCCAGACGCGCTCGTCTGCCTAGGAATGAATGATCGCTGATAGAGTGATGTTTTTGAGAAAGGCACTTCCAGCATGAGACTGTTGAAGGTTTATAGCCTAGTGCTATGGATGGCAACTATTGGTTGTCCACGGAGTTGGGCCAGGTGCGGAACTTTGAGAATGTTGGCCTTGTAAGACCACCAACGCCCCGACGGTGATGCAGGCTCTGATGTTCAGACCGTTACCACCAGACTTGGTCAAGACTAGAGATGAACCTCTCTCTTTCTCTCTCTTTCTCTCTCTCTCTCTCTCTCTCTCTCTCTCTCTCTCTCTCTCTCTCTCTCTCTCTCTCTCTCTCTCTCTCTCTCTCTCTCTCTCTCTCTCTCTCTCTCTCTCTCTCTCTCTGCTTTTAACATGCAATCGAATTATTCGAACATATTTCGGCAGGTGCAACATGTCGAGCAAGATTAAGAAAGAGAAGGGGAAGGGGATATGATGAGGAACTGATAGGAAAGGGGCCACACTAGCGAGGAGGGAAGATTTTGGAAACTGTTGTAAACCCAGTGACGGAAAATTCCAGCGGTGACTCTGAAACCCTGTGTCTGGCCTCCTGTTTCCACTGCCTAGTTTCATTACTTTGCATTTACTCGGGTTGAACTTCATCAGCCATTTGTTGGACCATTCACACAGTCTGTCTAGGTCATCTTGTAGCCTCTTACTATCATCCTCTGTTTTAATCCTCCTCATAATTTTTGCATCATCAGTAAACATTGAGAGAAACGAGTCTATACCCTCTGGGAGATCATTTACATATATCAGAAACAGTATAGGTCCAAGGACTGACCCCTGCGGGACTCCACTTGTGACGTCTCGCCAGTCAGAAACCTTACCCCCTCACACTGACTCGTTGTCTCCTCTCCTGTTGCTTAGGTACTCCTTTATCCAATGGAGTACCTTCCCTTTCACTCTAGCCTGCATCTCCAGCTTTTTCACTAGCCTCTTGTGGTGTACTGTATCAAAGGCTTTCTGGCAATCCAAAAATATGCAGTTTGCCCATCCTTCTCTTTCTTGCCTGATTTTTGTTGCCTGGTCATAGAATTCAAGTAAACCTGTGAGGCAGGACTTGCTATCCCTGTACCCATGTTGATGCTGTTACAAAGTTCTTTCGTTCCAGGTGCTCCACTAGCTTTTTTCGCACAATCTTCTCCATCAGCTTGCATGGTATGCAAGTTAGGGACTCTGGCCTGTAGTTCAGTGCCTCCTGTCTATCCCCTTTCTTGTATATCGGGACTACGTTAGCTGCTTTCCAAATTTCTGGCAGTTCCCCTGTTGCCAGTGATTTGTTATACACTATGGAGTGTGGCAGGCGCAGTTCTTCTGCTCCTTCCTTTAGTATCCAAGGGGAGATTCCATCTGGGCCTATAGCTTTCGTCACATCCAACTCTAGTAAACACTTCCTTACTTCCCTGCTGTAATCTCAAACTCTTCCAGTGGTTCCTGGGTTAGCTATTCCCTCTCTTGTCTGTGGAATTTCTCCTTCCTCTAAGTTGAAGACCTCCTGGAATTTCTTATTTAGTTCCTCACACACTTCCTTGTCATTTGTAGTGAATCCTTCCGCCCCTATCCTTAATCTCATAACCTGTTCCTTTACTGTTGTTTTTCTCCTGATGTGACTATGCAGCAGTTTAGGCTGAGTCTTTGCCTTGCTTGCGATGTCATTTTCGTATTGTCTTTCTGCCTCTCTTCTCATCCTGACATATTCATTCCTGGCACTCTGGTATCTTTCTCTGCTCTCAAGTGTCCTTATTCCTATAGTTTCTCCATGCCCTTTTACTTTGCTGCTTAGCTAGCCTACATCTCTGATTAAACCATGGGTTTCTCATCTTCATTTCACT